TTTAGTTGTGTGTGTGTGTGTGTGTGTGTGTGTGTGTGTGTGTGTGTGTGTGTGTGTGTGTGTGTGTGTGTGTGAAAAATGCAGATTTTGCAATACCGAACTGTTTCATGAATTGGTGTCTGTTTCACCTAATTGTTTGGTTTGGGGGTTGGGGGATTCTGAAAAAATCAAAATGTTTCATGTTCAAAAATGATGCATTTCAATTTTTCAGTTGGAAATGACTTTTTGTTTCAAAATTTCCTTCCATTTTATTTTTAAAAATTCAAAAGTGTAAAAAAAAAAAAAACCCACTCAAAATTGAAATGAAACATTTTGATTTTATTGGAATGAAACATTTTGTTCAACCCAAAATGAAAATGTTGTGGACTTCTGAATCTGCAAAAATTGTCTTTTTTGGTCTGATCTGAAACAATTTGTTTTTTAACTTTGTCAAAATTGCCAATGAACCTAAAAATCTATTATTCACCCAGCTGTACTAGAACCAGCTTGACCAGGGGGTTGATCTGGTCGGAGACACCTCTCCTCTGTTTCTAGAAGCTGAAAAAAACATCACTGAACATTAGTTCTACATATCCAGCATTTATATGATGAGCCTTCTTCAGCCCCGGTGAAGATATGTGAATGTTCCCGGCATTTTGGATATATTCCTCTCAAATTGGATTGTTTTTTCCCACATTGCTATTTACTAAATCCAGAGTTTAGGTGTGGCCTCTGAGCACAGAATTTGGAGTTCTAATCCTAGCTCGGATGATGAATCCTTTTGTGACCTTAGGAAGTCACCTGATCTCTGCCTCAGTTTCACCATATGGAAAGCGGTGGTGATGATACTGCCCTACCCGGGGATGTGTTGTGGGTCAGTCAATGTTTGTAAAACATTACGCATTGTTGTTGTTACTTGCATTACAGTAGCACCTAGAGGTTCCTTGTGCCAGATGCTGTACACACATATAGGAAAAGATGGTCCCTGCACCGAAGAGCTTACATTGTAAATAGACAAGACAAAGAGTGGGGGGAAGGACAGTATTGTTATACCCATTTTACAGAAGAAGGCTTGAGACACCAGAGAGATTCAATGATTTGACCAACGTTGTACAGCAAGCTTGTAGCAGAAGTGGGAATTGAACCTTGATCTCCTGAGTTCCTGGCCAGTGCCTTAAGCACAAGACTATCCTTCCTCTTTCTGTTATTAACTAGGGTATTTGTTTTTCCAGTTTATCTTTGACCTCATGGTCTGTGGGAAGCTGAACAACAACCAGGTGACTGAGGAATTTGTCCTTCACTCTTCTGCTCCCCTGGACACTGCTGTCAAGCTTTCCCAGGCCTTCAACATGGCTGCCCTGAAGGAGAAGGAACGCGCCAAAGACTTGCTGACTGCTGCCAAGTACACTGAGAGCATGGCCACTGAGCTCCTGACGCTGGCCTCTGGAGGTAGAAGTGCTGGCTACCTTCTCCGCGCAGTGGATCACAGAGGCACTACCATGCTGGACTCGCTAATTGAATGTGAACAGAAGGATGTAGTAGCACATCCAGCAGTGCAAAAATACCTGACAGAAGTCTGGTATGGCAGCCTGAAGTGGGCCCCATGGAAGATCGCCCTTTTGTTCGTCTGCTTCCTAGCATGCCCCCCCATGTGGCTGGTTTTCTCCCTACCCCTGAAACATAGGTTCAATAAAATTCCTATCATGAAGTTCATGAGCCACTTGGCATCTCATATCTTCCTGCTCATCCTGTTCATCCTAACCATCGTGTATCCCCCTATTAGCCCCATCTATGAAGGTCACATGGTGCCATACTGGAACGAGTGGTTGCTCTTAGCTTGGCTGCTGGGGACACTAGTCACCGAGCTCACCCATTCTGGAGAAAGGGCTGGCCTGGCTTGGATCAGAGTGTTCGTCTTGGGCTTCTCTGCCATTGCTTTCCTTTGCCATTTGCTGGCCTTGATGTTTACCGGCACCGATCGCTTGCACTGCCTGTTTGCTAGGAACATCTTCCTAGGGGTGGCCATGACACTCTCCTTTGTGCAGTTCCTGGAGTTCCTCACCTTCCACCACCTCTTTGGCCCTTGGGCCGTCATAATCAGGAACCTCATGAAGGATCTCACCAGGTTCGCAGTCATCCTCGGCTTGTTTCACATAGCCTTCACCATGCAGCTGTCGTCCGTCTACCAGCCAGTCTACCCTGAACCAAAGACCAATCTCTCAGCTGCCGGTGGGAACGCAACTGTGAGCACCACTATCCAGGACCCCGTTGTCGTCATGGTCACATTATTCTTCTCCTTGTTTGGCCTCGTTGACCCCGAGTCCCTGCCCTCACTCACCAGAACTCCCCAGTTCACTTTTGTCATCATCCGCTTTGTGTTTGGGGTCTACCTGATCGTGACCTTGATTGTGCTGATCAACCTGCTGATCGCCATGATGAGTGACACCTACCAGAGGATACAGGCCCAGTCTGACACGGAGTGGAAGTTTGGCAGGGCCATGCTCATCAGGGACATGACTAGGAAGTCTGGAACACCTTCCCCCTTTAACCTCTTCACAAATCTTCTCTATTATATCAAAATACTTTGCAAACACAAAGGTACAACTGCTAATTTATATGTAGATTGTGTCAAAGAACATTTTTACTTTGCAGTCCTAGGCATGTTCCCGAAGCCTATAGAAGAAATGAAATGAAATGGTTGAATGTCGGCAGCTGTAAGAGTTTTTAGGGAAACCTTGGAAAGTGGGAGCAGTGGCAGTGCCTGGATTTATTTAAGGTCCTCACCGAGGGGCAGTATGTGCTGCATCAGGCACCACATTCATGGCTTCGTTCTGTCCTCGCTTACAGTCAAGCAACTCCTTTGAGGCAGAAAGTAGAACATGAGTCCTTGGTTCTCTCTGTTGCTTACATTACAGACTAGAGTTGAGTGGGAACTCAATTTTTCAATATGTGGGAAATTCTGTGAGTCTGAACAAAATTCCATTCCAAAATGGAACAAAAACAAAATAATTCAAAATTTTCTGGAAAACCAAATTATGGGGAAAAAAATTCATTTCAGGCGAATCAAAGCGTTTCATTCCAATTTTGACATTTTTGTATACTATAAAATAAATTTCTAAATGAAAAGTCATTTCAAAACAAAAAATGCAAACGTTCCATTAAGCAGTGTCAAAATGGAATGTTTCAACCTAAATCCAAATCCTTTCTTCTTTCTTCCCCAAAACTAAACTGCATCAAAATTGACACATTTATGGTGAAATGATTCACTTTCAACGAATCGATATTTTCCAACAGAAAAAGATTCCATCCGAAAATTTCCAACCAGTTGATTACAGCCCAAATACCCTCGAGGCGACCCAACAGTGGACATCTAGTCTGGAGGCCACAGAACCTCGATATTTCTGATCGAGCTCACAATATTATGCATGTTGCCACAGTGCATAGTAACTTTATACCATTGTACTACGTTCCAAGCAACGCATCAAAGCACTTTCCACTCATCTACACCTAAATGTGGGCTAGCAGTGTGCAATATAGACGTTTTGGGTACATAGGCAATGATCGCTTCCAACAAAAATATCTTGCCAATGAAGACAGATGGCTCTCTGATAGACCCAGGCAACTCCTGGTCCAGGCATATCATGTGCTAGGTGGCAAGGTGGGCAGTTAGTCCCTCAGAACTTAGACCTGTGAATTTGGGAGGAGAGGAAAACTATCTGCTCCACTCCCCCAACCCATATTATCACATATAATGTTCTATATGCTGTCACAACTTTGCCCTCCGCCCCCAATTTTTTCGGAAATGACACCCCCGCCCTGGACATCAGTGTGGCTAGATGGGTGGTAGGGTAAGTGCAGGAAGAATGTCTCCAAGTCTAATGGAAACTGTTACTTTCCAGGAAAGGAGGCTAAGAGTTTTGTGATGTATGTCCTCTTAAAGAGACACTGCTCCGTTCCTTCTCACAGACATACAAGAGAATGGGGTATAAGTGCCCTCACATGACCTGAGGCTGCTGTATTACATCTCCTGAGAGATCAGTTTTAATTTATTTTAAAATAAAGGGTTGGGGGGGTTATACATTTTTATTCTACTGACACTCATTACATTGGGAATGTTTCAGAAAACATGGTGTATTTGCAGTGGTGGGTTTTTCATATACATAGCCCTTTCCTACATGAATGTCACATGGACAGCTGCAACTCCCCCTTCTCCCCAAACCAGAACCAAGCATGCATCATTTAACCAAGTAGCTAATCAATATAATAGTATTTTATTTCCCAAGAAGCTCTGGAAACAGGATATATAACTGTAATCCCAGATAAAAAGGATATCAAATTGGAGTTAAGGTTGAGCACATGTTAGTAATTTAAGGGTAATTACAGGAATGTTGTAATTATCCCAAAACCAAGCATTACCAATCCAGGAAATTCAGTTAAGGTTAAATTTAAAAGAAATTCAGTTATGTTAAGGAAACTCCAATGCACAGTTAAGGCACCCAGACAACGTTAACTCCGCCTTGTAGTGACACGTGGAATAACCATACAATTAGGATTAGTGCATAATAGAAATCAGTTTAATCTTTTCTATGAGACTAAGGCTATGTTGAACTCTTCCCCTTTTTTTCCTCATGATGCCACTATAGGGCAGAACTAAGAAACTAACATCAATAGTAAATACAAACAAAAAAACCTTAGAAAAAGAACATGTAGGCTGTGGAATTGTTTTGCAGTAAGAAGTTCTATTGCTTGAGACATTAAAATCTAAACTGGACTAGGCACTTGAAACTGAACTGTTAGAGACAATCCTGCAGGGATATGTGGACAAGATGAGCTAATAAATCTTCCCCATCTCCAATTTCTGTGCTTCTATGAGAAATGTAATCCCAGGAGACTGAGGGCCTGATCCTGAGAAGTGAAGTCAATGGACTAGACTTCACCCTAGGCAAACCTACTATAAATAGGTCTTATCAGGGCTGTTACTGGCATTGGCCCCGTTCTCAGTCATTTCAGACCCTCTTGGCATTTGAAGTTGTGATTTTCCAGCATTCCCTTCCATGATTTTCCCAGTTGTCTGGTTCAGAAATGTGGCTCAACGCGTAGTACCTCAGGGCTGGCAGAGGGACAATGTCCTACAGAGAGGAGCAAACATCTGAAAAAAATATTCTGCTCCGATGAAAATCTAACTTCTCTGTGTTCACTCGCTCGCTATGTTTAAATTGGGTGAGTGTACCCAGAGAGTGTATTCATGGCGGGAAAGTTGGCGTGAACAACAAATGTTAAGTGAATATGGGAAGATATTTTTGGAGAGTGAATTTTGCAATCGCAATGCTATGTGTTACACTCATCCTGACAGAGATCAGAAGCATTGCTGTGTGACCTGTCTAAACTAACCAGATATCAAACTGCTGCAGGCCAAGAATTATTCACCAAAACTAATTGACAAATAATATCTAATAATGATTAAATTCAAGAAAATTGTAAGCCGCTAGTGGACAACATGCAAATGGAAAAGGAGGCTAAAATCAGTGAATGTATTATTATCGCTTCTTGGCTCTCTGTGAGCTGAGGGGTGAAAACATTATCTGCATTTGTCAGCTCTTACTTCAGGGTGTTAGCACAGGGCATGCTAAATTAGGAAAGATGTTGGACAATTTTTTTTATTTTTTAATTAAAAATGGCTTTTTTGTCAAACTGGAAATTTCCATGACAAATCATAGAATATTAGGGTTTGAAGAGACCTCATGGTCATCTAGTTCAATTCCCTGCTCAATGCAAAAAAAAATTTTTGACCAAAAAAATCAGTTTTTTTTTTTAATGAAAAGCCAAAATCCCCAAAATTGAAAAAAATCAAGGGATTTGGTAACTGAAAACCAAAAAAATTTCAAGTCAGATGAAAGTTTTCAGTAAAACCAACTATTTTTCCCCTGCCTGCCTGAAATCTTTCAGTTTTTGAAAACTGTAAGCGTTGAGGGGTTTTAACAAACAAAAAAACCCCAACCAACCCAAAACACTGACAAAAATTGTTTTTTTCTTTAAATTTCATCCAAAACCAATTTTTTTTCTGAGGGGGCATTTCCCAAAAAGCTCTATGAAATTTACAAACTTGGGTCCCTAAAGGTGGCCTCCTAAAAATCCACATTTAGACACCCAAATAAAAGCTTTTCTTTAGGAGCCTAAATGCATATTCATGAGCTGAACTGTAGGCACCAGGGCGTGAAAATGTTGTCCAGTGATTACGGTAATCCTCAGATGTGATCTGACTCTTTTTCAGGGCCAAAAATTAAAGATGAATAATGTTTTTCTCTTTTGAGGTCAAGGAGAGGGGTAAACCAGTCATTCCACTCCTGAGTATTGGCAATCTTTCCAATATGATCTTTCCAACACCGCAGCTGGGCACATACAGTGAAAAAATAAATTGAAAACAATCAGTAATAACTATTTGGAGCCAATAATTAATATTTCTCAAGATAACTTGAACAACTCTCTGCCCAATTTGACCTGAGGCCCTGCTATTGCTGAGATCTTTCCAATCTCATCTCAACCAAGTAGCACAGAAATCTCATTGGAGGCCCTAGTCTTTGGAGAGGTCCACACTCGGAAGACTCATGTAAACCTTGAATGAACATCCCAACTTTGGCACTCTTACCTGAACCTATGATATGTTCAAAGGTTGTCTGTCACTAATTTGCTGTGTGAAGATGGGAGGGGGGTTTATTGGTATAGGGGGTTTATTGGTATAGACTATATGTATCTCACATACCAGCTAGCACAATTGTATCAAAAACAGACTAATAAGACAAGCATGGGAAAACATGAAGATAAATCCTCATTGTAGAGGTTAAGATCCTGTTTGTACACAATCCTACTCATCTGAGCTTCTGTGCTCCTCCAAGGTAAGCTGTGCTCCACTGAACGAAGAGACCTGATAAACGAAGAGGAAGACCTGGACAGCACTTCGGACACACGATCCATCAATATGCTGGCTCACACATCCATGGGTTGGATTAGGGTTGCTGCCAAGAGGATGACACAAGTATTACCAGAAGGTACTGACCCTTTGCTGAGCCATATGCTAGAAATCCACAATAGACTGCCAGAAGGGGACCAAATTACATAGGGTGCCCCAGTAGGGTGCACCTCTGACACTGAGCAAAGGAAAACATATGCTGATATCAGGGGAAGGGGCGTCCTAATCAGGAGAGCTATTTGATAATGGAATGGAAAGAAGACCCCATTGCTGGAGGATACAAAATGCAGGGAACAATCCTCCACTGGATGATTTAGACACCCTAATGGGTCTTTGCCATTTCCTTGATTCTAAATCTTTCCCTAGGAAAGGTGAACAGTTGATCTTTAATGTACCTGTTGTTTTTTCTCTGTACTTCTGGGATCCTCAGACTGTGTGGTTGGGCTGTTGCCATATGTCTCACTTCTGTTATTTCTGTACGGCGTCAGTACCGTTGGTGCAAATAGCCTTTTCCTCTGCAGCTCTTGTCTTCCTGTATCCTGCAATTGTCTTCCTATATCTCTCCACCACACTGATTCTCTGTATTGGTTCATGTAGCTGGAAGAGTCTCTCTTCCCCCCCTTATCTACACATCTGAATTTTTTGTCCCCCTTTGCTGTCCTTTGTTGTTCCACTTCCTAAGAGTATTATCCATTTTGGGAAATATTGTGGCTGAAAGGTGCTCCGCAGAATGAACTTCTGCATGTGCTACCATATCTAGGCACAACAGAGCGCGCTAAGGATGGAGTCATTACTCTGCCTGTCTTTGCTTTAATGCTGTTGGTTCAGACACTTAGGAGTCAGTTTTCAAAGCAGTGGGAGGGAGGGGGTTTCAGCCAGTGCTGCTTATGTTTTGTCTGGAGAGGCCAAATTGTACATCAATGTAACACAACATTTCACTAACACGACTCTCCACAAAGGTTCCTCCTCCCCCTCCGCTGTTATCTAGCTTGGCTTGGAACTTACAGTGCTGTTGGAGGCGGCTGGAAGGGAGGTTTCTTTTCAGTAGGTTAGGCCGACCCTATGAGTTTGAAGAGAGGAAACCAGATATTGGCAAATCGGATAAACACGATAGAATTCCATGGCCCATTCAGAATGAATTTGGGGGGGCGGAGGGGGCACATCTTTGGTGAAAGGGAGCCTCCCCCTCTTTCATTGCCTTAGTGATAGAAGAGGATGGGGTGTTTCCCTCTCTCACTGTACACTCACCGGGAATGGGTTCAGTATGAGAGAGTTCCTCCTACCTCGGCCGCAGGGCCATTCTGAGCCTGCTCTATCACAGAGACCGAGGTGGGACGGGATGGATTCGGCATTACAGCAAGAGCATATTTCACAGAGGAAAATCAGAGACGCATTTATTCTTGATTCATATTTGTTTCCTATGAGCTGCTGCCTCCGCCTCACCAGACTGGACTAAGACCAACTTAATTTGCATAGCCACTGACAGCTTTCAGTCTGATGCAGGTGGGATTTGAACCCATAAACTAGTGGTGAGAGGCTCTATCTCCATTTACCAAACCACTGCTCCCTCAATAGGAGCTTCAAGTGCACGTCTGAAGGCAGAATCTTTTCTGTAAGTAATCCCATTAAATCAGATGCAATCATTGCATTAACTACAGAAAATTAATATTAAATATATAATACACCACATCATACAATTAACCCTAAGTAACCTATTTCATTGGGTAATTTAGTCATTTATATAAGTTTATTTCCTTAATCATGAGAACCTACGAGTTTAAGAAGTCAGTAATCTCAGCAGCTCCAAATAATATCAGACAATATATTTTAAGCAGGGGCGGCTCCAGGCACCAGCGCACCAAGCGTGTGCCTGGGGCAGCCAGCTGCGGGAGGCGGCCTGCCGGTCGCTGTGAGGGCAGCAGTCAGGGAGCCTTCAGCGGCATGCCTGCGGGAGGTCCCGCGGTTTTGGCAGCAATTCTGCGGTGGATACGCTGAAGCCCCGGGACCGTCGGACCTCCCGCAGGTGCGCTGCCGAATCCGCGTTACCAGTAGACCTCCCATAGGCGCGCCGCCAAAGGCTGCCTCACTGCTGTGCTTGGGGCAGCAAAATACATAGATCCACCCCTGATTTTAAGACACTGAGTTTGTGAGGGTCCATAAACAAACACATGCAGACACCACCATTGCCAACTAATCTGCACAGCCCCAGGATTGAACTCTAGATCTTTGCTCCAAAAGCAGACCTCCACCACCTGAACAAAATGGGAAGTCCCGTTACCTTTACAGCAGTATTGTGAGATACTCTTTGTAGTCCTCCAGCCACCAGGAGGCGATATAATCACACTTGAGCAGGTCTGATTTCATCCAGGAGAGGGCTATGGGGTCTGACACTTACACTGAACCAACTCCGCCTGTTAGAGGGACTCCAAGAAAAAAGGAGCCTTGGTACATGGATGGGTGACTTTCTCCTCTTGCCCTCTTAGCCATCTCTTGTTCTGTCCTTAGGTGGGCACATTCGAAGCCCTCTGCCAGCAGGGCCGCTGCACATTGAGGAGGCAATAGACTGGCACAGCGTGGCGCTCCGCTATTACTCCTTGAAAGGGCGGATGGACAGAGCACTGTTGGAGAGGGAATTGTCCATGCACCATGAGGAGAAGAGGGGTGTGCAGCCCATCCATCTGCTGGTGAACGGCCAGGACGTGTGCAGAGTCTAGCCTGTTTGCACCCAGCTCCCCAGTACCAGCGATTGCCGTGACGTGGGTCCCCTCTGGGCTGTCTGAATGCAGTAGGGCATGAACGGCGATGTGGTGTATGTCCAAACGGAATGCAATAAAGATAATTTTCCGTGTTTCCTCCACGTCCAAATCCGTTGGATTTTTGTACTCGTGATCCTCCCTCTGGGGCCTGATCCTGAGAGGTGCTGAGTGTCTCCGGCAAGGTACATCTGGCTGGAGCCCAGCACCGAGGGGCTCAGCACCTCAAAGGATTGGAACCTAATATGGGGATTCTGGCTGGTCAGCCACGACCTTCTCCAGCACCCATAGGAGGTGCTGGTCATGCTACATGCCCTCGGGAAGGAAGTTTCCCCTGAAGGTTTGGATTTGGCTTCTGGTTTCTCCCTGCCTTAGTGGTTGTGGCAGTTTTACTGTGCCTATTCCACAGGTGATGGAGAGAATCACTGGGCTATGGGGACAGCAATCGGACTAGCAGGACAGCTCAGGCTAGAGAAACGCTCTCCTGTGTAAAACCAGTCCTAGCTTCACTGCCAGCTGCCACATAGTGAAGAATTGCATTGTCCTCCCATGATGCAATGGGCTAAACCGCTTTCACACACACCCCCGGTGGGCAGAGGTGTGAGGGCTATAAATCCCCATCTCCACCCCCTACACCTTTGCTCCGTTGCTCAGCGGTTAGGCACAGCAGCAATCCACAGTCATTCCTGAGGGCAAGGACTATTGGAGGCTAATGGCAACGGAAGAGTGGGCCAGCTAGGAGGATATTCCACACAACTCAGCCTGGGAAAGGGTGTAGCTCTGGCCTGCTGCCCCCTGGTGCTCCCAAAGGCATGAGCCCCAAGTCAGCTTCCTGTGTAGGAGTGCTTCTCTGCAGCCTTGCTGCCACGGGGCTCTGGCTTCATGGTTGCAGTGAAGAGAAATGAAAGGTGCAGACCCACGTGCTTCAGGATTCCCCCCTCACCAGGCAGAGATGCAGACCTGCTGCCCAGGGGTTGTGCCACCTGGAACCTGCATTTCATCGAAATCCATTCAGCGACTGGGGCTTACCAGTGTAAGCAGCTACCCCGGGGAGAAGTGACATGAATGTAGCTGGTAAAATAGGGGCCCTGAGGATAGTAGGGACTACTGGTTAGCACAAGGGGGCAGGGAATCAGGACTCCTGTGCTCTGGTCCAGAATCTTGATACTTAATCCCAGCTCTTAGGCCGGTCACTTAACCGTTCTGTGCCTCAGTTTCTCTGTCTGTAAATAGAGATGACAATCACACCTCCCTCATGGGAACGCTGCAGAGCGCTGAGGTCGTGGGAGAGCTGGCGCTTTGGGACAGATCTGCGCTCTCATTGAAATCAATGGCCAAAAATCCATTGATTTCAGCGACAGCAGGGCTAAGCCTTATATAAGGGTAAATAAAGGTTGCAAGTTTTTGGCTTCCATAAATCTGCACTCTTTCGTTGGTGGTCTGTCTGAACAGGCTTTGTATGAGCTAACCTCCTCTCCCATCCCCACAAGCAGCCAGGCTGCCTGTCTGTGGGTGGTCAGGACAGCGCCTGCATACCACCGAGAATGGATGCCGAGGAGACACTCCGTGTGCGAGATCGCCGTGCTGTGCAGAAGGAGGAGTTCCAATGTGCTGAAGTCTCCAGGATGAGACAACACTGGGGGGGCAGCGCGTGGCTTGCTGAGAACCGAAATATTGGAAGTATTCAAGAGTTTGGGCAGAAGCAGGAAAGCATGCTTAGGCACCTCCCCACAGTGCTCCTGGTGAGTATCTGAGTGTGTTGTGGGTCTGCACTTCACAGCCCATAGGGACTTCAGGAACACAGTAATACAGCACTGCAGGAGTGCCCCAGTAGCATTATTATAAGTAAGCTGGGATGGTTGAGTGGTTGAGGCACAGCAGGGGGACTCAAGAGCCCTGGGTTTAATTCCTGGCTCTGTCACCGACTTTCTGTGTGACCTTGGGCAACTCACTTACTCCCTGCATTTCCCATCTGCAGCATGGGGATAATACTACTGCTTGTAACTGACTTGTCTACATACGGTATGTGTACACTGCAAAAAAACAGCCCCGTAGCAGCGAGTCTCAGAGCCTGTGTCAACTGACTCTGGCTCACGCTACAAAGCCAAAAATAGCAATGTAGGCGTTCCCACTCGGGCTAGAGCCCCGTCTTTCAAACCCAGCCGGGGGGAGGGTCTAAGAGCTTGGCTCTGGCCTGAGTGGGAACGTTTACACTGTTATTTTTAGCCCCATAGTACAAGCCCAAGACAGTTGACCCGGACTCTGAGTCTTGTTGCCGCAGGTTTTGTTTGGGGTGTTTTTGCAGTATAGACGTACCCGTCAAGCAGGGGTGACCTGTTGCTATATATCTGTACAGCACCGAGCATGCTCAACCGGTTCCAGGGTTGCCAGGTGTCCAGTTTTCAACTGGAAAGTCCACTCGAAAGGGGACCTGTGCAGTATCCGGTCAGCACTGCTGACTGGACCCCAAAAGTCCAGTTACCGAAGTAACCACAATTGGCCTCTGGCACCGGGAGGGCGGGAAGAGCAGCTGCTGCTGGAGGAGGAGGGATCCTGACAGTGCACTGCACTTGTGGAGCAGGGCCAGGCTCGCTGCCCACGACAGCCCATCCCACCTTCTCAGCCTCCCAGGGCCCTGGCTTTCTCCGGGCCCTCACTCCAGGGACAGACACACCTCACTGTGCTCCAAATGGACAGGCAGGCACGCTCCATGTCAGCTCCTCCCACCTGGCTCTTCAGGTGGCAGGTGAGTCCCGGGAGAGGGGGGAGTAAGTGACGAGGGCCTGTAAGGTTCGGTTATGAAAAAATGGAAAGTTGGCTACACTACCTGGTTCCCTAAGTGTTACTATAATACAAAACAGTAGCACCCACCCCATTATGGGGGCACACAAAACTATCATCAATGAGGAGACATTTTCATTCCAAGCCCATTTTTCTGGGGTGCTTTAACTTTCTGGGGATAAACATTATCTTCTGAGCTGAGTTAGGGAGAACTTAGGGATGTAGAAATCTCATCGACGTCACGGTCTCCTTTGAGAACAGGACTCCGGCATTTTGCGAAGCCCGAGCTCGTAAGCTGGAAAAGTACGCCCCCCTGGCTGACACCCTGAGAGCGAAGGGCTATGAGGTGCAGATGGACGCCCTGATTGTCGGAGCCCTGGGCGCCTGAGACCCCTGCAACGAGCATGTGCTGCGGACCTGCGGGATCGGTCGACACTACGCACGTCTCATGCGGCGCCTCATGGTCTCAGACGCCATCCGATGGTCCAGGGACATCTACATCGAACACATCACCAGCCACCAACAGTACCAGGAGGCGTGAGCCAGAGTGACATCGTTCTCCCACTACGAGAAAGGGACCAAGTGACCTTCTCCGTTGGATCATATAAACTGGAACCATTAACTCCCTAAACATTAAATCTCACCAAATGAGGGTCAATCCATCCTTATCATCATATCAACTCATTATACTCCACACCCAAACACAATCACTCTATGAACTTCATACCTTCATATCTCAATGTCTGTACTTTGACCCATCAACCTTTTACCCCCAATTGGGGATATTGCAGATTATGTGTTCCTCATGCCACCTGATCTTAAACCAAACTTTGCACCCTCGATAATCTGGATATTATTCCCTGATAACCAGAAACTTCTATGCTCAAACTCTGTTCACAATTTTTTTTTAACATCATCTTAATAAAATTTTAAAATGGGCAATGACCTCCTGGGTCATCAAGTCCATCCCCTGCTATCACAGGCTACCCCATCATATAACCCCATTCATAAATATATCCAGCTCCATCTTCAAACTGGTTAGGTTGTTGCCCCCACCCCCACCTCCACTCCTGTTGGGAGGCTGTCCCAGACCCTCTCTCCTCTGATGGTTAGAAACCGTGTTTTAATTTCCAGCCACAATGTATTCATGGCCAGTGGTAGCTGACCTATAGAAAATCCACCATCTGATTGAAGAGCTATTCCCCTGTGATTGCTGGCAATTGGAGGAAGCGTTAGTGCCCTGTTAAATCTCTAGTGTGAATCAACAAGCCTCTTGAATAGCTAGACATTTGAAAGGTTAAGAAAACTGCCCTTTTTTTTCCCACCAGAGGCTAAATTTTTTCTGAAGAGCAGCCTAGCCTCTCAGTGTTAACGTCTTATTTCAGGCCAGCATCCCTGCTAACGCCATGAGCAGATAAACGAAGCAATTCTTTTGGTATTATTCCATATAGGGCCAGATCCTGCCACAGTTAGGTTGAGCCGTATGCACTGAAATCAAGGCTAGGCTCCGCTCTGCTTATGTCAGGCTTCCTTAGAAACAAATCTAACCAGCGAATGCCTTTAGCATGCTTATGAGTGTCGAGAATCACCTCTCGCTTGTGAATGTTTGTGAGCGTAGCGTCATTGTTGCTGATTTATGTTCTGAAAGGGGCCGTGTTTCAGTAACAATCCTGTTACAGTCTCATACCACGTTTACAGCAGTGTAACTCAAAGGGCACTTAGTCGGGGCCAAAGAGCCGGCCTATTTTTAATATTGGAAGCCAGACGGCAATTGTACGGTATAAAGAACAGGAGTACTTGTGGCACCTTAGAAACTAACAAATTTATTTGAGCATAAGCTTTTGTGGACTACAGCCCACTTCTTCGGATGCATAGAATGGAATATATATTGAGGAGATAGATATACACATACAGAAAGCATGAAAAGGTGGGAGTTGTCTTACCAACTCTGAGAGGCCAATTAAGTAAGAGAAAAAACTTTTGAAGTGATAATCAAGATAGCCCAGTACAGACAGTTTGATAAGAAGTGTGAGAATACTTACATGGGGAGATAGATTCAATATTTGTAATGGCTCAGCCATTCCCAGTCTCTAGTCAAGCCTAAGTTGATTGTATCTAGTAATTGGCCTCTCAGAGCTGGTAAGACAACTCCCATCTTTTCATGCTCTCTGTATGTGTATATCTATCTCCTCAATATATGTTCCATTCTATGCATCCGATGAAGTGGGCTGTAGCCCACGAAAGCTTATGCTCAAATAAATTGGTTAGTCTCTAAGGTGCCACAAGTACTCCTGTTCTTTTTGCGGCTACAGACTAACACAGG